TGATTCCTTGACCTCCTTGGGAGGACCTGTCAGTGACTCCCTGTCACCTTGATGGTCAAGTCCAAAGGTCATTAGCTGCTATACCAGGTACTGCCTGCATTCCTGCCTCTTCTCCCACCACCTGCCCTGGTCATTCTATGCCCTGGCTCCTCCGTGCTTTATCTCCAATTCTACCACTTAGTATGCTCTTTGCCATAACAGTTATGGTTACTGGGCTCCTGAGAGCAGGGAAATTAGCATGTCGGGGGTCTATTCAGGGGTGCTCAGAAGTGTGGGAGAGAGAGGAGGGAAGCAGTGTCAGACAGGAGAAGTGAAGCTGCAGCGGAGTCTTGACAGAACCTCGGGCAACATTTCAGGGAGTTGGGAAGATGGGATGGCCCTTTGAAGGTATCCAAAGTGGGGCGCAAGGATCAGGCTTATCCCCTTGTCTATTAGTCATTGGATGCTACCCTGGTAAATGGGGCATGACCTTGGGCAAGATGCCTCTCTTCAACTGAGACCATTCCCTAAGAAGACCGACAGTTGCTGAGGGCTGTCTGACCACTAACAGCTGCAGCCTGACTGCCAAGTCATTAAAATAAGAATTTATTAAGAATAATAATCATTTTTTATAAAATTATGTGCTTGGTGATGACTGTGGTACCCAGTCTAAAGGCAGAGAGAGTAAATTCCCTTGCGACTGGCTCAACTGCAATTCCAAGCCCTTCCTCAGGAAAGGACTTCACTCTACAGATTGAGAAACTGAGGCCCAGGGAGAGTCTCAAGTCATCTACCAATGTGACACAGCCTTAGAAGTAACTAACATTGGAACGGTTATACCAGATTGTACCAGATGCTTTATAGCCCTATCTCATGAATTACTCATAAAAATTCGGTAGCGCTCATTTGAGTAACTTGTCCGAGATTGCACAGCTAATAAGTGGGAGACCTAGGATCTGAACCCAAGTCACTCTGACTCTAGACCCCATAACGAGTAACCACTACGATGAATCGCTTTCTCACAGTGAAGCGTGCCGGCACCCTGGACCTGTTGAGATGCTGTGGAATGTGTGTGTGTTGCTCTTATTTCTAAGAATAGGTTCCACATTAGCACATAAAGCACAGCATTTCTCTTCTGTCTTCATGGTCTGCGGATAAGCAAATGTGCTTCCACATGGAAGATCCGTTGTACATCAACTGTCCATCGGAGAATACCTAAGTAAGCTTCAGCTCCCATGTCCGTTGCATGCCAGTGCCTCTGGACCTGGTGGCCTTGCTCCTTCCACAGCTCTGATGTTCCCTCAACAGAAGCATTCAGTTCCAACCTGGAAACGTGTGCATCTGAGTGTCCTTCAGCAAATCTGGGGAACTCTCCCTCTGCCCTCCCCAAACTCCCAGGTCTGAAGGGGGGCAGCCTTGCCAGCAAGGGGGTCCTACTTGGGTTTATAAAAGCCCTTCCCAAGACCCGAAAAACCACCAACATCTATTCCTTTTCCTCTCCTGCTTCATCAAAATAAAACCTATTCTAAGACTCTGACATGTAAAGATTTCTCAGTGTAGAAATGGTGTTAAATTACAATACTATGATGTGACCCAAGGAACTCTAAACTGTGTCAAAAAAATGTGGGTTAATTTGTTTAACAAACACTCATTGTATTCCCACCAGATGCTAGGCCCTGGGCCAGATGCTGGAGGTTGCAGTGTTTGGGGAGTTGGCCATTTAGTAGAGTTGATTTCACATGTTTTCATGGATAAGCATCACTTGGGAAACTTGCTAGTAACGCACATTCCTGAACCCCATCCCCAGAGTTTCTGATTCATCGGGTAGGGCTGAGGTTTAGGATGCTGCGTTTTAAACGGTCCACGGGTGTTTCTGAAGCAAGTGGTTTTCAGTTGTATCTTGAGAAACCCCGACCTGGTAGATTCTAGTTCTGATCAGCTTAAGTCCCTTAACCTCCGGGCGACAGGGATTTGGAAGGCATACATGATTGGTAATGGCTTCAAGATGCCTTAGGAAGACTTCCGAGAAAGGTGTTCTGTGTCACACCAACATGACATCATTTCTTCAAACAAGAGGAAGATGTTGTGTCATCATGTGGCCTAAGGTGACAAGTTGAAAAATTTCACTGGAACAATTCAAGAGGTGTGTGTGTGTGTGTGTGTGTGTGTGTGTGTGTGTGTGTGTAAACTCATCAACTGTATACTTAAGCTTTTGTACCTTACTGTATAGATGTTTACTGTATGAACGTGATGCCTCCATTTAAAAAAATGTTAAGAAAGTGTAAGGCAAAGTGGGTAAGAGGTTTAAAGAGGCCATTCTAGAGGGTAGGAGAGGGTAGGAGTTGGGTTCTGGCAGGAAAGAAAACAGGACAGGGAAGACGTGCAGACCTCTTGACGAGGCACCAGGGAACTCCTCTGCAGCTGGTGGAGTAGAGAGAGGGCTGGAAATGGGAGTGGGCAGATGTGGATGGGAAGAGGCTAAAGGGTTCAGGTCCCATGAGCCAGACACTTGGAGCACAAATGGAAGGAAAGACAGAAAGGAGAAGAAAGATGGGAGAGAGGGAAGGAAAGAGGAAGCTGAAGAGAGGAGAAAGAAACCGAAAGAAGAAGACCTGGCCCAAGGAGGAGCTTACAGTCTTGGGGCTCTGCCCATGTGGCCTTTAGCAAGTTGTCTGATTGCTGCAAGCTTGTGTGTGTCTCTTTAAAATGAGGCTGGGCCTCTGAAAGTGAGGAGGGATAGAGATGGTGAACGTGAAAGGCTGTTTGTAAACTCTGAAGGGCTGCTAAATGCTAGTCATTAGGGACATATATCAGCTCAGGGGAAGGCCCACTGCAGGTGTGAATATGAGCATGCGTCCCAGTTCAGCTCCCCAGGCGGCTGTCCACATCTTCCCCACACCTGACCACCAAACTCACAGGAGTTTGGTAAGAGGTTTTCTTTCCTTTTCTTTTCTGCTCTGAGCTAGTTCGAATGTTGCTTTGTGCAGGCCTGGGCATGAGATTTCCTCCAACCACCCCGAACCCCCCCCGCCCCCCCCACACACACACACCTCCAGCTGTTCTCCTTGACCCCCAGATGCCCTTCCACCTTCTCCCAGGCAGGGCCAGCTGTTGCCACGGAGGCCACCTGCCTCCTCCCTGGCCTGCATCACGAGTTGGAAGCCAGAGGCCTCCAGGGACCAAGGCAGTTTGCCGAGGGCCCTTGGGGAAGGAGGGGAAATAAGACAAGCACTAAAATTAGATGAGTTGTCGAGAAATGTTTTTTTTAATTAAAAGTGTGGCTCTTTTACTATGCAAAGTCTCTTTAAAGACAATTGCCCTCCCTGAGTGGCAGGTGGAGAGCTCAGCAGCTCTCCCCAAAGCCAGGGAGGGAAGGGAGGCGAGAGCCAGGAGATGGAGTAACTGGTTCTTTCCCCTTTTAGGGGTAAGAATGCAAAAGGGAGATACGGGCAGAATGGGGAAGGGGGGTAGCTGTTAAGGGATCTGCTTGGTAACTTCCCAGGCAGAAGCTCCTGGAGGAGGGAACTGAGCTTGTTGGGGACCCTGAAGCTGGGATTTTGTTTTTCTTTTGTTCCATAAAATTATGCCACCATCTCAGCCCCTCTCCCCTTCGCTAGCCCCAACCACCCGCCCTGAAACCGCAGCTGGAACCACGGACACCTTGGCCTTGGGGCCACCCTGGCAGACAGAGGACTGGGAGGGAGGGAGGGAGGGAGAGAGGAAGGGAGGGGGAGAGGGAGAGAGGGAGAGAGAGAGAGAGAGAGAGAGAGAGAGAGAGAGAGAGAGAGAGAAGAGACAGAGTGACAGAGGGGAGAGAGGGAGGACTTGGGGGGGGGGGGGAGTCGGAGAGCCTGCAGGAGAGAAAGACCCTAGAACCCAGGGGTCTGTAGAACAGAAGAGAAGAAAGAGGTAGAAGAAGAGGAAGAATGGAAGGGTGGGGAGGGGACAAAATGACAGGTAGCAAAGCTGATGGGTGTGCAGAGACTTTGAGAAACAGAAGTGAACCGCCTGGGGGGGCTGCTCCCAGCAAACACGGGGTTCAGTTCATGGTGAAGGTCCTCAACCCAGTGGCGCCCTGGCCCACACTAAGCGCAGGGTCCTCTGCCCACACTGGGTGGCCGCAGTGCACGTGTGGGGGTTTCCAAGGGACCTGTGGCCCCCTGGCGCCCTAGGTGTGTGGGCCCAGGAAGGAGGTCTCAGGCTCTGTGCCCCCCCAGGCTAGGAGAGTGTGTCCTGGGGCACCCTCCCAGCTCCCCAAGATTTCTGTTTGCCACGTCCACAGTCCACATCCGTCACCACTGCATCAGTACTGGGTGCGGTGGGGGGAGCCATCTCTGCAAGAACTACCATCTACTACATTCTCCTGCTCCTTCGGAGTCTCTCTGCCAGGAGAGAGGCTTATCCTCAAGTTAGAGGAAAGGGAGACCCTGCCTGTTCCGGGCCCTGATTGCACAACGTCCAGAATACTGCCAGCCTGGAGATGCGCCTGGAGAACGATTGAAACCAGCAGCCTTAGGAGGCCAGACAGCCAGGGGGTCTGGAGACAAGTTCCTTAAACATCGGAAACAGAAAGTGGGAGGTCGAGGGGGGAGGGCCGACACCATTGGGACAGAGTCTAGAGAGGAGACACTCAAACAAGTGGAAGGACCCTCGAGACTGTCTCTCCTGATGGAAACCCCTCCCCCAACCTCATTCCTGGAGAAACCCCCTCCAAACCTCATCCCTGGAGAAACCCCCCAAACCCCATTCCCTGGAGCGCAGGGACCAGTGCCCTCCCACTGCCCGAGCTGCCACCCTCTACCCGCCAGTCCCCACGCTGAGACTCAGCTGCTGGGTCTGCCTTCTTTTTTTTTTTTTTTTTTGCTGTTTTTGTTTTCTCCTTCAAATACAAGACAAAAACACACCTCGTTTATCATCATAGATATATATATTTCACTCTCACCACATAAATACAAAACATCCAAAGATCCAAAACATTCAGAACAAAGTTAGTAGCCAGGATTCCGGGACACCTACCCGCGTTGGAATCGCTCATTATTTTCTTCACTAAAAATAATTTGCCTAAAAAAAAAAAAAACAGGGAACAAAGCTTCCGACGTAAATAATTTACAATAAAATTACTATTTTTAAAATGCTCTAGGCTGGCTTCCGGTGGAGGAATACATTCTCGACACTGGGGTCTGTGGTTTTGGTTAAAATGCGGGTAGCCGTGGCTGTGGGGACTGTCCTGTTGCTGCGGCACCGGTAAGGTCCAGGTCTCTGACTTGGGACCAGGGAAACCCTGGGGGGTTAAGGGAGGAATCCTTTCCAGCCACACAGGATGCCCATCTGGACGCGTGGGCCACGGACGGAGGAGACTGGGCCGCGCTGCTGTCCCAGGCTGCGGCCCGCCTCTCCCGCCTCTCCCTCCAAAAAAATTCTGCTCTGAAATCCATCAAGGCGTTTCCCCCGTGTCGGAAGAGTTTTGTGAATCCAGGAGTGGGGCGGACACGAGAGGCACTGGGCACTGACTTGTTTGCAAACCCAGCAATGCTGCCCACAGCCACGCGTGGGGAGGCGGTGCGGAGGAGCGCCACGGAGCCGCGCCGCGCTCTCGCTCTCTCTCCCTGAGCGGCGCGCGGCTGTAGGCCACCGCCCAGCCGCCTCTAGAAGGTGGTGCTGAATTTTCTTCCATTCGCTGGCTGCACGGGCTTTTCGGTTTGCTTCTCCCTTTTCAGTTGCGGTGTACAAGGTTAGCCCCCAGAACTTTCATTTGCACTGCCCGGTGGCGCATTCTCCGCGCCGAGTTTCCTTGGACCTTCCAAACTCCGTGATGAGCATTTTAAAGCCGGTTCCGCTTCCTCTGGTTGGATGCGGTGGTGATCACTGATTATTGCTGATTAGGTCAAATGTGTTGCCCCGGGGTCCGGGAGCCCAGGAGGTGGCTGCGATCGGAGTTTCTTTAACGCGAGAAACCTCAGCAGGATCTGTCCAGCCCGGAGCCGCGTGCGCCCGGCTCTCCGGAGAGGTCCGCAAAGCGGGGACCAGGGGCTCCCCACAGCCCTGGCTTCTCTGGCGAGAGAGAGGAATGGACTCCTTTTTGGTCTAAGGGGACCTGCCAGTTTTTCCAGCCCCTGGGCTCTGCGTGCAGCTTTTCTCTTGCGAATATTCACAAGACTTTAACCATCAAGGGCGGCAGCGGCCGGACCCGGAGCAGGTGCGCTGTGCTCCGGCCTCAGAACCGGCCTTTCCCCTCCGGGGCCCAGCACCGGTTGGCGCATCGGGTTGTCTAACTCGGGCCTTTCCCCTAATTCTTTGGATTCTCCTGGATTCAGAGGAAGTTTGGGGGGAGAGGGATGTAGGAAAAAAAACAGCCCAAATGAGATAAAATTGGTAGCAGAGCCTGGTTGGGAAGCAGAGCTGTCAGGGGCCTCCTGGGAGCCGGGATCCCCGGCGCCTAACTCGCGCGAGTCCATAAATATCACCACGATAGAGACTATAAATATAAATACAGGGGAACTCTTCCGATCAGTCCAGCGCTTTCTTCTCGGCCCCTTCTTTATTGCTGGTCCGCGAGTAAGGCTCGAAGGCCGAGGAGCTCAGGTACCGCGCGGACAGTTCTTGCAAATTCCCGGCCAGCGACCCAGCCATTGTCAACGGGGCGGAGGACAGGCGGCCGGCGACGGAGCCGAGCAGCGAGGGCACGGGCAGGCTGAAGAGGCCGTGGCCGGCGGCCGGCGCGCCCGCGTGCAGTCCCCCCGGCCCCGCGGGCCCAGGCCCCGGAGCCGCGCCCACGGCCGGCGGGTGCGGGGACGCGGCGCTGGCGGGGCCGGGGGCGGTGGCGGCGGCGGCGGCAGCCGAGCCCGCGGCGGCGCCCGCGCCCGCGCCCAGGGCAGGCAGGCTGGGCCCGCGCAGCGCCGAGCCGAGCGCGCCCGTGGCGCAGGGCGGCAGCAGCGCGGGGAGGCCGGGCGGCGACAGCAGGCGGCCCTGCTCCAGCAGCCGCAGCACGCTGCACGTGGCCGCCGTCTCCGACACCACCGATCGCAGCTCCGAGTCCTTGCCCTGGTCCTTCTTCTGCTTCGTGCGCCGGTTCTGGAACCAGACCTTCACCTGCGCGCCAGGCGCGGGGAGCAGGGGGGAAGAGGAGCAGGGAAGACGGGCGTCAGGAGAAGCAGGCTCCAGGGTGCGAGGGTTGGGGGCAGGGAGGGTTGGGAGGGGGCCTTCCCACAACCCCAGCCTTAACCCCAGTCCTAGTCCCACCCGTGGCGGGAGAGGTCCCGCTAGGAGCTGCCAGGGGGAGCCAGGACCCCCAGGTGGGGGACACAGCTCTGCTAGGATGCACTTCCGGGTCATGGAAGCAGGCCCAGGCTGGCCAAGATTCCCAATAAAGTAATAAAAATGTCCACAACCTTCACTCAAAAGAAGACCAGAAGGGATTCCACTGAGTGATCGCTGACCTGTGCCGCCTGAAGATGCTGTGCGGGAAGGGGGAGTGGGGGTCGGTGGGGAAGCGTCGCCCTGCCTATCTGGACCCTGGACCCAGGCCCCTGGCCAAACGGGCTCGAATTTAGCTATAAGCAGCTGTTTCTTATTAGGGTGGGACTTGACCACCAACTAGCAGCAAGCAGGGAATGTGGCTGTAGAAAGAATAGTTTGTCCAAGTTTTTTTTCCCCACCTCCTCTCCCCAGGAGCTGGATTGGAGGGGCTGAGTGATCCTCAATTTTCCACTCTTACGCTCTCCATCCCGAACTTTGGTACCACGGGAGAAAGTCGGGAGGCTGTGTTGGACTATATTCTCTCCACCACCCTCCCCTCTCACTGTCTCTTCTCCCTTGGTCCCCCCTAGCTGGTGGCCCACAATGGAGTTTGGCAGCTACAGGGCAAGGTGATCCTGTCTAGATTTTATAAACTGTACTAAGAGGGGTGGTAGCAGCGACACTAGGGAAAAGCGACCATGCCAATTCAGGCTCAGAAAGAGCATCTGACGTGTCCGTCCTTGGTTCTCAGCTTTCTGTCCAGATTTCGGACCTAGAAGGTTCCCCACCTGCTTCAGGGCTGGGCATAGGGCAAGGGACTGAGCCTCAGAAAACAATGTCGGCCTGACCTAAGCCAAGCTGGTGCCATGCCCTGGCCAGGCCCCAAAGACCTCTGGGCTGAGTCCAAATAGCCAGCTCCATCGTGGCATCATATGGATTTCATGAAAGCGAACGACCTACCGCACGGTTGGCAGTGCTGGCTCCCAGGCCCCTAGATCTGTCTCCCATCCCACGCCTCCTTGGCACAGAAGACAGGGGCCTCCTGGATGTCTGAGTGAGTGCTTAAGGCTGAGAATGGGGTTGGGTAGCTGCGGGCCAGGGGAAGCCTTGCGGTCAGGCCAGCCCGGTCTGCATAGGCAGGTATCAGGAATGTGCACTTTTCTAATCCTAGCTGTCACCTGTGCTGAAGCAGGGGGCTTTGGCCCTAAGCTTTTGGCCCATTGCGGGATGGGCCGAGTGTTGTGTAAGGCTCCCATCCCCAAAGGGGGGTGGTGCCTGGAAATCTGGCCAAAATGAGGCAGCCAAAGCAGGGTGAACATCCGTTCCTTTAGAGCAGAGACAAGCAAGGGATTCTCAAGACTGGTGTCCAGAAAGAATTCCGGAAGGACATATTGGGGTCTCCTGAGCTAGGCCAAGTGAGCAGAGCATGGGCCCTGGAATACTTGAGGGTATGGGGGGGGGGTAGCTTATGGAAGGGAAGGAAGCCTCAGACCTTTCTTGCCCACCCTCTCTATCTCCTCCACCTCCCCCAGAGGCTCTGTCCAGAGCCCTCGGAGATGGTGCGGAAGCGCTGGCTGGGGGCGGTGGGGAAGGAGGCCGGTGCAGAACTGGAGTGGCCAGGCCCTGGTACTACCTGGGTCTCGGAGAGGTTGAGCTGCCGGGCGAGCTCGGTCCTCTCGCGGCCCACCACGTACTGGCAGCGCTGGAACTCCATCTCCAGCCGGTAGAGCTGCTCCGCCGTGAAGGACGTGCGCGTCCTCTTGGGCCGGTCCAGGTCCAGGCCCTTGGGCAGGATGATCTCTCGGATGGATCCCTTGGCATCTGGGGAAGGGAAAGTATCAGCCGCCAGAGCCCTCTGCTCGCCCTCCGCCTCTCTGGCCTGAAGTTCAGAGGTGGAGGGGTTGGGGGGAGCAAAGACTGTGTATTGGGGAGCCAGGGCAACCGCCACACGCTCGCGGGAGGGAGAAGCAGGCTTTGCCTTTTGTACCACCCTCCGGACACAGAGGAGAGGGATGCAATTCCAAACCCGCGCTGGGTCCTCCCGGCTTGGGGGCCTTGACTTCGCGGTCTGGGTCCCTGGTAGCCTAAGGGCCCCCACACTATCCAGCCCGGGTCGGCCAGGCCCCAGCTCTGGAGCGTGTCCACCGGATCGCCCCGGCGGTCCCCACCCCCACCCCTGGGTCTCTTTCCCTCCGGAGCCCGGGAGGCGGAAGGAGGTGGGACCGAGTCCGGCCGGCGGGGCCTGGCGCGGTGCTGGCGGGGGCGGCGCCGGGCCGGGCTGGCCTCACCGCCGTGGCCGCCCCAGCTGAGCGCACACCGCGCGGCAGAGCCGGGCCACGCTGAGCGCCGAGGTGGCCTCCGCGGCCCGGCCATGCAGCCCGGCCGCTGTTCCAGGCGGCGTGGGCCAGCCCCGATCGCGGCGCCGGGGCCCTGGGCCCAGCGCGCCAACTGGCTGGGCCGTAGCCGGCGGTCGGTGGTCCTTCTTCCGCGCCCGCGCTCCCCTGGGGTGCGCTCATCTCGCCAGGGCGCGGGAGTCCGGGCTCCCGGCAGGTCCTCCGGGCCACAGGGCGCACACAAGTCCTCCAGAGTTTCCTGCTCCTTTCCCGGGTCGGAGGCCGCAGCCTGGAGCCTGGGCCCGCCCGTGCAGACCCTAAGCTTCCCCCGCAGCCCAGCGCTGGGCTCTCGGGCCTCGGAGGATAGCGGTCCCCGGAGAGTGCGCGCCCCAGGGGCGAGTGCCCATCGGGCCAGCCGGACCCCGGGAGAGGAAGGCCAGCAACTTTCCCCGAAGTCCGCAGCCCGTCTCCGCCCGCCGGGGTGGGTCTCGGCGCGCAGCTAGGGCACCGGAGTCGCCCCCAAAGAACGCGCCCCGCAGCCCTGCCCATCCCTACCTCGCACCAGGATCCGGCGGCAATAGTCCGGGTCCGCTGAGGAATTGGATTTACTTTTGCTGCAATCTTCCGCCGCGCCCGACGCCGAGAAGGCGCTCTGCGGCTCCTTGAGGAAGGCGGCGGGGAGGTTCCCCTCCGCGCCCTTGCCCTCCCGGCTCTCCTTGTGCGCGTTCTTGGAGACCCGGGCAGCCTCTGCGTCCGAGTGGCACCGAACGTCCATTTTGTCTGGTTTCCCGAACATAGGAGAGGCAAAAGCAACAAAACAAAACAAAAAAAAAAGAAAGAAAGAAAGAAAAAGAAGAGGCAGAGTGGGGGGGACAAAACCCCCACAATACAGCCCTGCGCCCGGCCCGGAGAGCGGCAAAAGGCAGGAATGAATGTCCCGGCGGGGTGGCTGCGGCGGCTGCGGGCGGGTCGGTGGCGGCGCGCTCGCGGAGAGGCGGCGGGGTCGGTCTGAGATCCCGGCGGAGCAGGAGCCGCGGCGAGGCCGCCTCGTCACCCGCGTCCTCTGAGCGCGTCCAGTGTCCCCCGCCTGGAGATCAGGTAGCGAGCGGCGCAACTCCGACACGCTGAGGCTCCCGCCTGCCACTGAGGGCGAGCTGTAGTGGTCCGGCGCCCGGGGGGACGCACGCTCGCTGTGGCAATTGATTACGGGTAATTTCGCAGCCCCCACGTTTCGGTTACCTCATGAATACACTAAATTGTTTGGATAATATATCAGATCGTAATGGATGGTTTCTGTCCTTGTCCCCAATCAAGTAGGGGTTTAGCCAGTGAATAAACGGAAATGATTGGTCTTGCTTTCAGGAAACACACAATCAAAGACTCACACTTCCAGAAAAACTTTTGGCAAGATGCATGCTGAATGGTTAGCACCATTAGCCGGCGTTATTAACTTTCCCTTTGCCTTTGACCCTCCTGCTCACATACTGGCTACTAGAGGGTTTTTCTCCACACTCGACAGATAGAGCTGAATGAGGGTGGAGGGGGGAGAGAAAACACACACACACACACACACACACACACACACACACACCCCTCTTGCACACCCTGCAGCACAGTTGCCTGTAGAGAGGGGAAAAGAGAAGAAGAAGGGGGGGAGGAGGAAAAGTTTTCCCCAAAAAGTATATCCCGCACGCTCTAAAAAGTCAAGCTTTCATCCCAAACAACTCCTTAACACACCTCGATGCTGACAGCCATCTTAAACGGCCACCGCTCGCATTTAGTCCCCGTTGGATTTTTTCAAGCCTGCACCTCCAGCAGCCCTGAGCAGCCCATTCAAAGGGCAGCTTTGTACTCAGAGTCCAGCAGGAGAGAGAGGGGGAGAGGGAGAGAGCCTAGAAAATCTCAACTGTGAGATCTGCTTTAAAAAAAAAAAAGTTTTCCCCTAGCTATTTCATTGTCTCTGCTACAATATCTTTGAGAAAAGCAACAGCCAGTAATCCAATAAGAGCATTGATTAGGCTACAATGATTCAATTCAAGCGCATGGCCTTGTGCAAGGAGCATGCTCCGGCCCTTCTCGTCACCTCGCCGGGGCAGAAGCCCTCTCCACTCCGCTCTCCCCATTCATTCCTTTATGGGAAATGCAGAGCAAAAGGAGTGAAAGATGGCAATTATCTAATTGGACTATTAACAAACAGTCCTCTGAGTGCGGAGGTCTGGCGTGGCTCCTGGGCGGGGGAAGGGCCGCGTTCCCTGCCCTCATTCACAAAGAGTGCAAGGGCCGGGGAGGAAAGGGGTTTTTTAAAGGGAGTTGGATTGGGGGAGTTGGGGAAGGGGGGAGGTTTGGCTGAGAATTTTTTTACACAATTCTGAGAATGGGGGCGGAGGCGGGCGGGGAAAGGGAGGGGGCTGGGGCGGGGGTCGTGGGGAGCTGTTGGGAGTGAGGGAAGGAGGGAGAGGATGTGAGGGGGGGGGGCTCCAAGGGGCTACGGATATCGCAGCCAGGCGTGCCCCGCCCAACACCAGAAACCTGCCTGGGCTGGATGGGCCGCTGCCACACTACTCCCGCCCCTTCTCCTCCCAGCCCCTGGCCCCTAAGAGAGCCCACTCCAGGTCCGGTTCCGGAGGCGGCCCCTGGCCCTGGAGGTGGCCCCTGGCCTATTGCTTTGTTTAATTGGGGTGTGTGTGTGTGTGTGTGTGTGTGTGTGTGTGTAAGAGAGAGAGAGAGAGAGAGAGAGAGAGAGAGAGAGAGAGATTGTCCTGAGCAGTTCCCGCAGAAGGGTGGCCCCTCAGTCCTCTGGGCCGTGCTGGGCCCAGGAAGCCAGCCGCCCGGATGGAAAGCGCCTTTGATCGGCTCTCCTGGGTGGGTGTGGGGGGTGGGCAGGCGGGAGTGGAGGAGGGAAGCCCTGTTCTGAAGACTTGGAGTGGGATTTAGGCAAAATCCAGCCAACTTTCTGGTTCCCCCGCCAGGCTCACACTCCCAGGTGGGCTCCCGAGGCCTGAGGGCTCCACTCCCACGCCCGCTGAGGTGTCTGGAGGCGCCGCTGCTGGGCCTTGGCTCCCAAGACAGGGGGGGCTAGGCAGGTCCCTGAGATCTGGGTCTCCCCACGGGGATGGGGCTCTGGGTGGGGCCCTCATTTCTCTGCAGAGCTGCCAGAGGCAATTCCTAGGCCGTCTGAGAGCCGGGGAGTTGATGGGGTCCCAAATCCCGGCCTGTCCACCCTTCCCTGACACCTGGCAGGGGAGGGTCTTACCACAGACAGCTGGCCCTGGCTGGATGCCCCCCAGCCTGGCTGCTCAGTGTTCCTTGGGAGACCTGCGGGCCACAGAGAGTCCCAGACTGAATCCTTGGCCGCAACCAGGCCACCTCAGAGTGACTCTGGGTCTCTGGCCACACCTACCTCCATGGCCACCTTTCCCAAAGGCCACTGTGGCCTGAGAAACCCACACTGATACCTGCAGTGCTGGGTCAAAGGCCCAGAGGGAAGTCTTTACAAATAAAAATGTGCAACCTACCACTTCTTCTTTTAGGTAGCTGAGGGTAACCGGCCAGGGAGTGAGCTACTGCCCCTAGAAAGGACGGTCAGGTGGGCAGCGGTGGCCACAGGAGGTCCAGGGCCACATACACCTCCAAGGCCACACCAAACTGTGACCAATGACAAAAAACCTATTGGAAGTTGGGCCTGGGAGATCCTTGACCCTCCACTCTCACAGGGGAATAGCAGTAACATAGCCTATATAATAAAAGCCTAATATGCAAATTGTTCGACTGGGAGTTCAACCGCTCACTATGACGTGTACTGACCACCAGGGAGAAGGGTGGAACATGGCGGGTGTTGGCCACCAACCCCCCCATGGGCCCCAATGAGAGTGGGACCACAGTGGGATGGTGGAGCAGATGAGGGGGTGGCGCCAGGCCAAGGGAGGGTGCCAGGTGGGGCTGTGGGGCTGTGAGGCTGGGCGTATAAGCTGGGGCCTGATCTCCGCAGGCCACCCCAAGGGACCCCACCCATGCACGAATTCATGCACCGGGCCTCTAGTTGGGTTATAACTGGGGACTGGTTAGTGGGCAGCCACTTCCAGGTGCATAACCTCATTTAATTTTCTTAACCCCTCAGTCTGGAAGGTAGTAACATCCCAGCCCTAGAGACAAACAGAGTCTCAGAGATGGTCAATAACTCCCCAAGTCATAAAGTTGGCAAGTGTAGAATTTGAACTCACTTCTGACTTCAAAGCTATTCATGTTCTCCTTCAGCTGCCCGATGTGACTCCGTCCGTGATTTAGTTCCAAACCTACCCCTGCTTCGAGTTTTCATCATCTCCAGTGATCATGGTCTAAATCAGTGATGGTGAACCTATGACACAGCGTGTCAGAGGTGACACGCGAACTCATTTTTTTGGTTGATGTTTCTTTGTTAAATGGCATTTAAATATATAAAATAAATATCAAAAATATAAGTCTTTGTTTTACTATGGTTGCAAATATCAAAAAATTTCTATATGTGACACAGCACCAGAGTTAAGTTAGGGTTTTTCAAAATGCTGTAACGCTGAGCTCAAAAGGTTCGCCATCACTGGTCTAAATCATAGATGCAAAGCAGTGACAACTAGGATTAGACAACTAGTTAATGCCAGAAATCCTGATAATTAGGCATTGTTTTCATGAATTTTATCCCAACAACAGGAGGCACAATGGAAAGGTGGAGTCTTATTTCTAATAAGGCTATTGGTTACCAGCCAGGAGCATTTCCCTCTCCTACGTCACGAGGCTTGGAAGGAATAAAGTGAGGTTTCCTGGGTGCAAACCTACTGAATGAATGCTTGAGAGTTGGAATGGGCTTTTTGGACCCCTCCCCAGGGGGTCTTCCCACCAGTCAAAGTTGGAGGACTGCACCTTTTCAACTTGGGTAAAGTCAAGGAACTCAGCTAGGCTCCCTGAGGGCAGGGAGCATCTTTCTTTCTTTGTTTTTATCCACTTACTGGAGCTACAAATGCTTATTAGGGAAAGGACGAAAATGGGATATTACAGAAAACACCTAATTTAAGGAAGCAGCCATTTACCCAGAGTCTGTTTGTCTCTGTATCAGGACCTGGGCAGGACCCAGGACACACCCTTCACCAAGGGACTCCATTGGGCCCCAGGCGGGGCTCAGGGTTGGTGCCATTGACCAAGGTCCCTCCATGTTCCAAGCCCTTGAAGTAACCAACCTCAATAAAGAAAGAGCCAAGCCATAACCTGTTTTGCTTTTTTGTTATGCGCAGTACTCCCCCGCCCCCCTGCGACTGGATTAAAATTCTGTGGGCATCCATCCAGAGAAACCATGACAGGTTTCTGAGAGGACGCAGTGGAGGATGGAAGCTGGGGATGGGGATTTCAGACAAGCAGCTGCTGCCCCCAGAGACACGAAAGCTGTGTCCACGGGCAAAGGAAGGAGAGAGCTCAGCCAATTATGTGGATAATCTGAGACAAGCCTGTATGACACAGCACACGAGGTCACAGGACTGCTCCAGGTGGAAGTGTCTTACTCTCCTGGCTACATTTGCTTCCCTCCCCAGGGCCCTTCCTGCCCCCACATCCCTGCCTGCAGGTGCAGACAGACCCAGAATAGAACTGTAGGGCTGGAAGGAGTTCGAGAGATCAACTATTCCATAGCCTTCATTTGACTTGACAGACAAGGAAAGGAAGCCTGGAAAGACAACGTGACTCGTTAAGGATTAGACAACTAGTTAGTGGGGGCATCGGTGAGACAGCCCCGGTCCCCTGGCTTACAGCTCCCCTCCCGCCACCACCGGGGCC